AGCTGGAAGGGACCCACGAGGACCATTGGGGATGCCCAAGGCACCAGCCTGAGTCTCACTACCACGTGCAAATGTCAATTTTCCTGTCTCCACAAGTGCCTGCCCTGCCCTGGACAGCATCCCAGCTTCATTAATTTCTTAATCCCAGCCTCCATAATTTTTTTTTTTTTATTAATGCCAGTGTTCACAGAGCACACCTTGCACCAAGGGCAGTGCTGGTGGTGGCTGCCCACTGTGTGAAAGCCCAGGCTTTGCTGTGCAGCTCTCCCAGCCCCTCGGATGTGCCAGGGCACTCGTTTGTGGGAGCCTGGGCCGTACGTGGGGCGGGAGCAGCTTCCTCAGCGGCTTCAGTCCCAAAATAACCCTGCCTGCTTTGCTCGCGCCTGCCTGGCGGCTCCTCTCCTGTAAAAGGAGAAGAGAAAATTGTTTGGAAAAGGCAGGGAGCGCCGAGCCAGGCTCTTAAAGGGCCCAGGTGGGGAGAGCTGCCAGCGCGCTCCCCCAGCCCTGCTCTGCAGGACCCAGAGCAGGCACCGCTCCCAGGGCGCTCGTTGGAACATGCCCAGCCCAGCTGCCTTCCCAAATATAGCCCTGCACACGGAGGGGAGGCAGCAGCAGGCTGGGGGGCTGGCCAGGCTGCCTCAGGCCTGGGAGCTGCTCAGGAGCTCAGCCTGGGCTGGGATGGGGCACACAAACCCAGCTGGGCCAGGCAGTGACACTGGGGATGTGGCTCGGTCCTGTGGGCTGGGTGAGCGGCAGTCACACCGTGTCCCCCAGCCCGATGGGGTGTGAGAAGGGGACACAGTTCTGTCCCCTCAGTGCAGCCACACTGCCCTACCAGCAGGGCTGGGAGCTTCCCAGCACTCTGTGAGCTGGGAATTTCTGACTTAGTTTGGAAATACCTTTGCAAATGACTGCTTTCCACAGCCTAAACTGTTTGGATTTTGTATCGCTTTCACAGCAACTCAGCTCTATTTTTCCCTGCCCCAGCAGTCTGCGGAATAGTTTCTGATTGGGGAAATATTTATTCCATTTGCTTCATCATGCGACTGCTTTCAGCACTCCAGTTCCTCATGCAGCCCCACTGTGACCCTGCAGGGAGGGACTGAGGTGTCAGTGCTGAGCACCCCATCCCTCTAAAGCTCGCTGGAGGCTGTGCTGAGCCCACTGGATCGGGGCACGGGCTCAGTGCTGCCAGGGGATGCTCTCAGGCGCAGCACAGGCCGCGCCAGCTGCCTCACATTTCAATTCTTTAACAGGAAAGCAGAGTTACCTTTGGGCGCATTTACAGATCTTTGTGATAATTACACATTTTGGAGTCATGCCTCCTTGGCTACAGTCCCAGCGCAGGCAGTGGGTGATGCTGTAAAGCTAAACCAGGCAGGAAGGGTTAAAATTACCTTTAATTAACTGATTCCTTGCTCCCTGCTGTAAGAGTATACAGCGCTGGCACAGTGCTAACCCACTGGCAGTAGGAGGAACAGTTTATACTCTCCTCTCCCCCACAGCAGGAGCAGCAGGAGCACCAGAACGCTCCCAACAAAGCCAGTGCAGGGGCCTGGGCAGGGCCTGTGGCCATGGCAGGGGCTCCCAGAGCTGAGGCACGGGGCAGGGAGCGAGGAGGCAGCTGGCCCTGCAGCAGGGAGCAGAGCAAACAGAGCCAGATCCCAGCCTCTCCCAGAGATGTGTGTGTGCTTTGGCTGGGGAGCTCCCTGCCAGCAACGGGGTGAAAGGCAAACAGCTCCTGCCTGCCCCTGCCCTGCCCCTGCCCCACCACAGGGTGATGGCACCGGCTGGGGGAGCAGGGAACCCTCTGCAGGAACCATCTCCCTCACCCAAAGGAGCTCAGGGAATGGCTGCCCACAGTGCTTGCATGGCAGCGGGGTGCAGACCATCCCCTGCCCCTGTGCCCTGCCAGCAAACCTCCCTGGTGCCCCAGTTCCTCAGCAGGAGCTCTGGGTGTCACAGGCTGTAAATACCCCGTGTTCCCAGCCTGCCTGGGGCTGTGCCTGTAATTAGCTGCTGGGATTTGGGAGCTGCTGTGATCCGGGGTTATCGTGAGCCACCGGCAGCGCCGTGCTGGGATTTAAAGGGACAATGTGGCTGTCTGCATGCCGGCCAGCTCAGGGCTGTCATGTCACACATTGAACACAGAGATGAGCCTCCCCTCAAAGCCTGTGCGTGTCCTTGCCCACCACAGGTCCCTTTTCAGGCAGGGTTGATGCGGTTCCAACACAGCAGAACAGCTATATGAAATTGCTAATATTTCTGCCAGGACTTTGTGGTCTCTGCCATCACCTTGGCCCTGGTGCCAGCTCAGCTCGGGGCTCTCCAGGCTGCAGCAGCCCCTGTTGCTGTGCCCTCTGTGTTCCCTTGCAAGCCCTCATTGCCCGGCTCCCAGCTCCCCAGCCGCCCCCAGCCCTGCTGCTTGCCCGGGGTGCCAGGGAGGCTCCCTTTTCCCCGTGTGCCCCGTGTGCCCCGTGTGCCCCATGTACTCACGGGCTCTAGTGCAGCCCGGGCAGGGCAGCCCGCCAGCCCGCGGCCGTCTGCGCCTCTCTGCTGCCCGTGGCTCCTCCTCGCTCCTCTCCTGCGGCTCCCGGCGGGCAGGAGCAGCCCCAGAGCACGTGCTGCCCGCTGGGCAGCGATGCCAGGCCGGGCAGCCCCGGGCACTGCCCTGCCTGGGGCTGCTGGCACCGCTAGGGGCTCCAGCCCGGCCCGGGGCACGGGCTGCTCACAGCTCCGGCGGGGAACGTCCTCATTCATCTGCCAGGATAGCAAATTCTGCCTGAGTTTCTCACCTGGCAACAGTCACCAGGGAGACCAGAGCGGCTGTGGCTGGTCCTGCTGGCACCGCCTGGGGAGGCCCGGGGCCCTGGCAGGGCTGTGAGGGTGGGGCTGCACCCTGGGTGGGTGTGGGGGCACAGGGGCAGCGCCCACACCTAACCTGGGCACTGCCCTAGCAGAGCTCACAGCAGAGCTCACAGCAGAGCTCACATCAGAGCTCACAGCAGAGCTCACAGCAGAGCTCACAGCAGAGCTCACAGCAGAACTCACATCGATGTGGGCTCAGCCCTCGTGCCCTTTCCCTGGAGCTGAGTGGGTTTCACCAGATTTGGGGTGGATATTGAGGTTTTCCTGGCTGTTGATCCCGTGGGTGTGCATTGGGAGGTGTGACCTGGAGCTGCCTCAGGCTCCTGGGGGGTTCCCTGTCCCCAGCTCCGGTCTCATCAGGGATTTTGGACGCTTGTTTTGAAAGCAGCGGCACCCAAGTGTTCGGAGATGCCTGGAAATCCACTGGTGCCAGAGGGAGAGCAGATCCTGCTGCCCCTCAGGGCTGCCTGACACACGGCCCTTCCCTATTTATAGCACCTGTGTCATGCCATAGCACACTGCTGTCCCTGCTGGGCTGTCCCTGCAGTGCCACCCCCGCACGCAGAGGCAAGAGCTGACCCTTGGAGCAGATCGCTCCAGCCCTCATTCAGCTAATTCTGCAGAAAGCATCGCAGCCCATGCTGGGTGTGAACCTGCCCTGCCCACTGCTCCCTGCAGCCTGCTGGCGCAGGCACAGACCAACTGGGAAAGGCCACCGGGACGGGCACAGGGAGGTGCTGCCACTGCCCCGCCCTCAGCAGCACAGGGGTGAGCAGCCACCCCAAACGTGGCACCTGGCTGTGATATCAGAACAGCAGCTTCGCCAACCATTAACCCTGCATGGCTGCCTGCCCGTGGCGTGGAGCTGGGGCCCCTCCCTTGCCCAGGACAGGGCTGAGCTCCCAGCAGTGTGTGGGGCTGGGGAGAAGGGCCTGGGGCTGGGGAGAGTGCAGAGCCAGGTCACAGGGGCTGAGGGAAGGGCTGGGGGCCGTGCCCATCCTGGGCTGGCACCCTGGGGCCAGGGCAGCGTCTCAGCATCTTTGGCTCGTGGCTGGTGCCCAGCTGGTGGAGGGGGTGCTGCTGGTGCTGGGTGCTTTGGCACAGCTGATGTGAGGCAGCAGGCTCCCTGCTTGCCCCTGGCCATGGCTTTTGAAGATCTTTGTCCCCTTGACTCCACTGCCTCCTCCCAGAGCTCCTGCAGCTCAGGCATCCCAGTGTGACTCCTCCACACACATCAGTGGCAGCCAGCCAGGGAGGGCAGCTCTGGCTGGGAAAAGAAGCAGGGAACCTGAGAAGCAAGATAAGAGCTTCAGAGATGGAGATCGAGGAGCTGGCCCCATTTTCCTCCACTCATTACCCCATGGTCTGAGGGTCTCCACCCCTTCCCTGCTCCCAGGCAGGCTCCTGCTGGGGCTGGCTGCTGTTGGCACCCCTGGCAGCACAGGGCCTGCTGCCACTCTGTCCTTGCTAGGGCACAAAGCACGCACAGGGAGCAGTGCTGTCCCCAGCCCGGCTCAGAGGGGACCCTGGTGGGCAGCAGAGCTGTGCTCACATCCCTGTGAGGGGCTGCACGCAAACACCAGAGATGCTGCTCCTCAGAGGAGCCCCTGGCTCAGCCCACGGGGCTGTCAGGCAGTGTCAGTGGGGTGCGTGGGTCACCCCAGCAGCCATGGGGACACGGGGTTCACTGGGGTGGGTGGGTCAGTGCCACCCAGCGTGGCAGTGCCACCACAGCCGTGTCCCTGCAGCCACTGGCCTGGCCCGACCCACGTGGATTAAGGAGCCTGCAGGAGTAAGTAATTTAAATCCAGATTAGGTTTAAGCAGCTGCTACGCAAAGGGCGTGTGAGCAGAGGCTGTGCAGTGGGGATGAGCAGGTGAGACACCGAGTGGCACCCCTGATGAGCAGGGTCTGTGCCCATGGGGCACCGCCCAGGACGGATTTTTCTCCAGGTCGGCGTGTGCACACCAGACTGGAGGCAGCAGTGCTGAGCCACGGGACAGGGCACCCAGGATGAGATGCTCCCTGCCGTGAAGAGAGAGCCCAGAGGAGGATGAAGCGCAGGGACACGCTGGGCTGCTCGCGTCGTGGGGGCTGCAGAGGGGCCGCCCCTCGGAGCAGGGCTGCAGACCATGTTCCACCTCTTCTCCCACTGCTGGTCGTGGCTGCAGGCCGTACAGGAGCCCGTCAGGTAGGTCCCTGTGCCGCTCCGGGGCTCCCGGGGGTGACACTATTTACCTGTGGGCTTTGAGTGTCACCAGGGTGGTGACAGGGGAAGAGAGGTGCCTGAGCTGTCCCCAGAGTGCTGAGCAGGGCACACAGGTGTCCCCAGTGCCCCTGCAGCGGGCAGGGAAGCAGGCTGGGCAGGGATGCAATGCAGGGAAGCAGGCTGGGCAGGGAAGCAGGCAAGCAGGCTGGGCAGGGATGCAATGCAGGGATGGATGGTTCCAGGGGGATCCTGGCTCTGTAGAGTCAGCAGCTCCCCAGGAAAGCTGGGCAGGATGAACTGAAACACCTGCCTTGTTTGCATGTGTCAGGACATCCAGGCTAATTCCCTGGGACAGCGCTGCAAGGAGGTTTATGCTCCTCTCCCTCCAGAGAGGACACCTTACCTCACCTGCTGTAACTCTGGAGGTGGAGCCGTGCCACCTGCACTGCTCTGTATGTTTAGGGAAGAAAATGGTATTGCAAATAGCTGTAGTGGCTTGTCAGTGGCAGAGAAAGTGTTGCCTGTGTGCCTCTGGTGGATCACATTGCTGGAGAGTGGACAGTACTGTTCAGTAACAGGAAAAACACCTGAGTCCAGGCAGAAGCTCATAAAATCACCCTTGCAACCTTTCTCTACCTGTGTATGTTCAAAATGTACTGCAAGGGAGGTGTAATTTCTGACTGTATATAAGGAAGAATCACGCTGGCCTGTGCATATAATCGCTTAACCTTTTATGCTTTGAAAACGAATCCTTGCCATGGGCAGCACCTTGCAGGCTCTGCAGCGTGGCTGTCGCATGGTGTTGGGGTGGCTCCAGGCACTTGTGCCTGTCCTCACCCTCTCCCTTGCCCCAGGGATTGTCCCTGCACTTGTCCCCAGCTGAGCCGGAGCCTGTGTCACCGTCCTGCCCCTCTCCTGCTGTCCCCAGCTGAGCCGGAGCCTGTGTCACCGTCCTGCCCCTCTCCTGCTGTCCCCAGCTGAGCCGGAGCCTGTGTCACCGTCCTGCCCCTCTCCTGCTGTCCCCAGCTGAGCCGGAGCCTGTGTCACCGTCCTGCCCTCTCCTGCTGTCCCCAGCTGAGCCAGAGCCTGTGTCACCGTCCTGCCCCTCTCCTGCTGAAATGTACACATGTACCCATGCGCCATGGGCAGGGTCCCCTGCCGGGCTTAGGGTTAGGTCGCTGCCCCCAGCGAGCAGAGCCTTTCCTGGGGGGCTCAGCCGCTGTTGTTGCTCCCCAGGAAGGTGACCCTCCTTGTCATGGGGCTGGACAATGCGGGGAAAACCTCCGTCATCGCGGACATAGAGAGAGGTGAGGAGCGGCACGGAGCCAGCCCCGACGGGGCAGCAGCTCTGTGGTCCTGTGGAACCAAAGGACCGAACTCCTGAGCTCCAGGGCCGCTCTGGGCGCAGGGCCCGGCGTGTCCCGGGCGGCGCTGGGGTGGGAGCGGGGATGCGGCGGGGCGGAGGGGCACAGGGCACAGGGCACAGGGCGCAGGGCACAGGGCACAGGGACCTGCCGTGCCAGCCCCGTGCGCTCTCCGCACGCAGCGCTGCCCGGGGAGGCGCTGCCCGGGGCACAGCCCGGCCAGAGCCGCCTGCGGCTGGACAGGTTCGAGGTGACGCTGCGGGACCTGCCCGGGGCCCCGCGCTCCCGCAGCGCCTGGCGCAGCCACTACAGCGAGGCGCACGGGCTGCTCTTCGTGCTGGACTCCGCTGACCTGGCGCGGATGGAGGAGGCCCGCAAGGTGCTGAGCCGCGTCCTGAGCCACCCCGACGTGTCCGGGAAGCCGCTCTTGCTGTAAGATCGGGGTGCGGGCTGTGAGCTGGGGGCGAGGGCCGGAGCGGGACCCTGAGGGTTGCGGCTGCTGCGGGGTGCGGTGCCCCGGGGACAGGAGCGCCCCAGCAGTGCTTGGGACATCGGAGCATCCGTGGGGAGGAGGAGAGGTGAGGAGGGGCTGCGGTGCCAGGTGAGGCTGGGGCAGTGCTCCACCCGAGCGCAGGCAGACGGGATGGGGCACACAGCCTCCCCGGGGGCACAGCCTCCCTGGGGGCACACAGCCTCCCTGGGGGCACACAGCCTCCCCGGGGGCACACAGCCTCCCTGGGGGCACACAGCCTCCCTGGGGGCACACAGCCTCCCCGGGGGCACAGCCTCCCTGGGGGCACACAGCCTCCCTGGGGGCACACAGCCTCCCCGGGGGCACAGCCTCCCGGGGGGCACACAGCCTCCCCGGGGGCACACAGCCTCCCCGGGGGCACACAGCCTTCCTGGGGGCACACAACCTCCCGGGGGCACACAGCCTTCCTGGGGGCGCACAGCCTCCCTGGGGGCACACAACCTCCCGGGGGCACACAGCCTCCCCGGGGGCACACAGCCTCCCGGGGGCACGGGCCCGAGGCGGCGCTGACGGCCGCTCCTGCCGTGCCCCAGGCTGGCCAACAAGCAGGACGCGCCGGCCGCAATGCTGCCCTGCGAGCTGATCGAGCGCCTGTGCCTGGAGCGCCTGGTCAACGAGCACCGCTCTCCGTGCCGCATCGTGAGTGCGGGGCGGGCCCCGCTCCCGGTCCCGGTCCCTGCTCCCGCTCCCTGTTCCCGATCCCACTCTCCGTGCCGCATCGTGAGTGCGGGCCCGGCTCCGCTCCCGGTCCGGTCCCTGCTCCCGCTGCCCCCTCTGGGCGCTCCCGTTCCCCCTGCCCGATCCCGCTCCCGCTCCCCGTTCCCGTACCCGCTCCCGTTCCCGTTCCCGTTCCCCGCTCCCGTTCCCGCTCCGTTCCCCGCTCCCTTTCCCGTTCCCGTTCCCGTTCTCGTTCCCGCTCCCGTTCCCGCTCCCGTTCCCGCTCCGTTCCCCACTCCCGTTCCCGTTCCCGCTCCCGTTCCCGTTCCCGCTGCGTTCCCCGCTCCCTCTCCCGCTCCCCCTCCCGCTCCCCCCGCAGCGCTCCCCGCGCCGATCCCCGCTCTCCGTTGCCCGCAGGAGCCGTGTGTCGCCAAGCGGGTCCCGCCCGCCGGCCCGGCCCGCCCCACGCTGCAGGGGCTGCGCTGGCTGCTCCGCGCCGCCGCCGCCGCCCCGGCCCCCGCGCCTCCCGCCGCCCCTCGGGCCGCCCGCGGCCGCCCGCCCGCCCGCAGGTGGGTGCGGGGGGATCCGTGACCCTGTCCCGGTCCCGGCTCCCCCGCAGCGCTCGGCCTCACCCGCTGCGCTCCCCCCGCAGGGAGCGGCCGCTGCCCGGGGAGGACGCTCGGGAGAACGGGGAGCCCCGCGCGGTGCGCCCCGGCTGCCGCCTCCTGCCCCTGGTGAGTGAGGGAGCGACGGCACCGGGATGGACGGGGGCGAGAGGGGCTCTGCCACCTCCCCTCACCCCCTTCCCTGCCAGGAGGAGAGCGCCAAGGGCGCCAGGAGGAGGAAGAGGAAGGTGAAGGTGAAGAAGAAGGGCTTGGGGCAGGCAGGCCCAGCCGAGGAGCCGGAGGCGCCGGGAGCAGGGGCTGCCGGGGGGCTGCTGCTCCCCAACAGGGTCGGGCAGGAGGAGGCCTCAGCCATCGGGACGGGCACCCCGCACCCAGGTGAGAGGGGACTGTGGGGCTGCCGGCCCTGCAGGACCCCAGAGCCACCCCAAGGGAGGTGGCCAGGCCTGGCAATGTCACCAAATATTGGACCACTGGTGGCCGCCACCTCCAGCTCTGCTTGCAGACCAGCTGAGTGCAGAGCCAGGTCAGGGATCCAGAGGGGAAGAGGAGACACCCCTGGGCACCTCCACGGGGGATGGTGCAATGCAGGACTGCACTCCTGCCACCAGCAGTGCTCTCAGCTGCTTTGGTGACAAAGACACCCTTGCTCAGGGGTGCGGTGCCTGAAATTTTGCATTTCTCTATTCAGCACGGGGTACTAAAAAGAAAAAAAAGAAGAAAATCAAGAATAAAATCAAGTCACGGGAACCTTCTCTGGAGCAGCAGCGTGAGGAGGTCTCAAGCACCTTTGGTTGGTATTTCTCAGGACAGATTTTGCTGCAAGCACCAGGCTCTGGCCTGCTGGCAGGGGGCTGTGCAGGGACACTGACCATGGGGGGCTGGGTGTGGGGACACGGGCACAGACAAGTGCTGCTGTAGGGCTGGGGGCTGCTGTGGGGCAGATGCTGCTGTGGGGCAGATGCTGCTGCTGCAGGGCTGGGGGCTGCTGTGGGCAGATGCTGCTGTGGGGCAGATGCTGCTGCCCCTGCTGGGGGGTGGGATGCAGGGAGGCCACCCCAGTGCCTGTGCTGGGTCTGGGCTGTCCCTGCAGCCCTCACTGAGCACAGACTGCCAGCCATGGAGCTGGTCCAGGGCCTGACTGCCCCCTTGTTCCCAGACTTGTACCGCCGGGCCATGCTGGCTCTGAAGATGAGGCAGGAGCAGAGGAAGCAGCCGTCGGCCATCGCCCCCTGAGCACGGAGGCACCGAGCACGGGCTGTGGAGGAGCCGGGCTGCAGGGCAGGGCACAGCTGCGGGTGCTTGGCCAGGGCTGGCAGAGCTGGGAAACGGGTCTGGGGCATCAACTGCATCTTTATCCCCTGCGCGGCTGAAAACCAGGGATCCACAGGGGCGAGCCAAAAGTCCCTTTGTAAAACGCCTCTGGCAGCAAACCCGAGTGAAAAGGGAACAGGCGGCCCCTTGCTGCCCCCTGTTAGTGTTCCCTGGAAGGCTCCGACTAAACCCGGATGGGTCTGTGTGGAGAGGGAGATCCGAGCAAACACCAGGGGGAAAGCTTGTCCTTTATATTGCCCTGTGCCAGGGAAAGCTCGTCCCTTTTATCGCCCTGTGCCAGGGAAAGCTTGTCCCTTTTATTGCCCTGTGCCAGGGAAAGCTCGTCCCTTTTATCGCCCTGTGCCCGGGGAAGGCTGTGCTCGCAGCTCAGGGCTGGCCCGGCCCGGCCAGGGCTGCACCCTGCACCCAGGCACTCCCCGCCTGCTGCCCGGCACGGTCTCGCTCCCTGCCGGTGACCGAGGGAGGGCAGCCCCGGGCAGTCTGCAGAGGGGCTCCACATCTGGCAGGGCTCAGGACCCGCTTCCCACGCTGCAGGAAGGTGGTGCCCGTGTTTGTGCGCCCTGCAGCCCATCAGCGAACATTTACGTTCAAAGGCAGCTGGTGGCGGAGGCTCCATCCCCAGGAGCGTTCCTCCTGGCCCTGCCACCCTTCCAGGAGGGACACTGTCGCTGGCAGCCTGGTACTCTGCTGCTGCAGGTGACACGGGACAGCAGCAGCACGCCTGTCTGAGCCCTGCCTGTGACACTGTGGCACTCTGTGTGTGCAGAGCAGCAGCAGCACACCTGTGACACTGTGGCACTCTGTGTGTGCAGAGCAGCAGCACAGCCTGTGACACTGTGACACTCTGTGTGTGCAGAGCAGCAGCAGCACACGTGTGACACTGTGACACTGTGTGTGCAGAGCAGCAGCAGCACACGTGTGACACTGTGACACTCTGTGTGTGCAGAGCAGCAGCAGCACACGTGTGACACTGTGGCACTCTGTGTGTGCAGAGCAGCAGCAGCACACCTGTGACACTGTGGCACTCTGTGTGTGCAGAGCAGCCGCAGCACACGTGTGACACTGTGGCACTGTGTGTGCAGAGCAGCAGCAGCACACGTGTGACACTGTGACACTCTGTGTGTGCAGAGCAGCAGCAGCACACCTGTGACACTGTGGCACTCTGTGTGTGCAGAGCAGCCGCAGCACACGTGTGACACTGTGGCACTGTGTGTGCAGAGCAGCAGCAGCACACGTGTGACACTGTGACACTCTGTGTGTGCAGAGCAGCAGCAGCACACGTGTGACACTGTGACACTGTGTGTGCAGAGCAGCAGCAGCACACGTGTGACACTGTGGCACTCTGTGTGTGCAGAGCAGCAGCAGCACACCTGTGACACTGTGGCACTCTGTGTGTGCAGAGCAGCAGCAGCACACCTGTGACACTGTGACACTCTGTGTGTGCCAGAGCAGCAGCACACCTGTGACACTCTGTGTGTGCAGAGCAGCAGCAGCACACCTGTGACACTGTGACACTGTGTGTGCAGAGCAGCAGCAGCACACCTGTGACACTGTGACACACTGTGTGTGCAGAGCAGCAGCAGCACACCTGTGACACTCTGTGTGTGCAGAGCAGCAGCAGCACACCTGTGACACTGTGACACTGTGTGTGCAGAGCAGCAGCAGCACACCTGTGACACTGTGACACACTGTGTGTGCAGAGCAGCAGCAGCACACCTGTGACACTCTGTGTGTGCAGAGCAGCAGCAGCACACCTGTGACACTGTGACACTCTGTGTGTGCAGAGCAGCAGCAGCACACGTGTGACACTGTGACACTGTGTGTGCAGAGCAGCAGCAGCACACCTGTGACACTGTGACACACTGTGTGTGCAGAGCAGCAGCAGCACACCTGTGACACTGTGACACTCTGTGTGTGCAGAGCAGCCGCAGCACACGTGTGACACTGTGGCACTCTGTGTGTGCAGAGCAGCAGCACACCTGTGACACTCTGTGTGTGCAGAGCAGCAGCAGCACACCTGTGACACTGTGACACTCTGTGTGTGCAGAGCAGCAGCACACCTGTGACACTCTGTGTGTGCAGAGCAGCAGCAGCACACGTGTGACACTGTGACACTGTGTGTGCAGAGCAGCAGCAGCACACGTGTGACACTGTGACACTGTGTGTGCAGAGCAGCCGCAGCACACGTGTGACACTGTGACACTGTGTGTGCAGAGCAGCAGCAGCACACGTGTGACACTGTGACACTGTGTGTGCAGAGCAGCCGCAGCACACGTGTGACACTGTGGCACTCTGTGTGTGCAGAGCAGCCGCAGCACACGTGTGACACTGTGACACTGTGTGTGCAGAGCAGCCGCAGCACACGTGTGACACTGTGACACTCTGTGTGTGCAGAGCAGCCGCAGCACACGTGTGACACTGTGACACTCTGTGTGTGCAGAGCAGCCGCAGCACACGTGTCCGAGCCCAGCCTGTGACACTGTGACACTGTGTGTGCAGAGCAGCCGCAGCACACGTGTCCGAGCCCAGCCTGTGACACACCGCGTCTGCCCGGCTGCACGGCAGGCACAGCTGCCCTCAGCCCTGCAAACACTCCTCCTGGAGCGCAGGGTTGGTGTTTTTCTCGCGGCGCCTGCAGCGGGCAGCGTTGGAAGCTGGGTGTGCGTTGGTCACCTCTGCTCCCCTGTCACTCATTAACGGGCTCTGCCTCTGCCCACCTGGGGAAGGCAAATCAAGGGAGCCCTTCCCTGGGCAGGGCTGGAAAGGGAAAGGAAGAGAAGGTGGCTGCTCTGCCTTGCCAGCCTGCCATAAAGCTCTGTCTCAGGGGTTATTTGTAAACAAACTGTAAATAACAGCAGCAGAAGTTGATCCTGCCCTGTAAATACAGCACTTTCAGCAGCACCTGTCTCAGTGTGGTGGAGTTCCCTGGGGTGTGGGTGCTGGGGATGCAGGGCAAAGTGGGGACCAAAAAGGAGACGAATTTTGGGGTTTTTGGAAAATGCTGGAGCCCCAATGGTGCAGAAAGCAGGAAGCAGTGCCTCAGCAGCTGCTCTGGAGAGACACGTTTTCTATCTCTTGTGCATAGCACCAACAGCACTTTCTGCAGGGCGCCAGCTGGGTGACACAGCCCTGCTTTGCATTTCAGCACTTGGATATTATCTAGCACACCCTTCCTTTCCAGTTTCCAGAGAAGCTGACTCAGGAGTGCCAGGGTAGGCAAAATATTGTGCCTGGTGCCGCCAGCACCGTCGTGGTGCCTCACCCGGGCTGTGGCTGCATTGCTGCGGAGCGGTGTGTGAGTGCTGCATTTCTGCAGCTCTTGTGCTGCTCTCCCAGAGACCCAGCAGGGTCAGCAGCAGCTCTGGGCACAGCCTGGGCCCTTCTGAGCCTGAAGGATGGAGAGAGCCAGAGATGGAGGAGTCTGAGCCCGGCTGGGCTCTGCCAAGCCGATGCTGTTTGTGTGCTGCCAGGAGAAGATGAAGAGATGTTTCAGCAAGTGCCACGGGAACACACCTCCCAGCCCCTCATGCCAAGGTTGCTTTGCACAACTGCATTGTTTCCTGATGGCTGTGGTCACCATCAGGAGTTAAAGTCGAGTAGTGAGCCTGCTGCTCCTTTGAGAAGAGCACTGCTTGCTCAGTGTCCAAACCCTGCCACGTCTCCCGTGCCCAGGACAGCCCCAGTCCTTGCAGGCAGCACAGGAGAGGCTGCAGAGAGCCTGGAAGGGGGCTCCCTGTGCTCCCTGTGCTCCCTGTGCTCCCTGTGCTGAGGCTGCTGAGGCTGCTGAGGGTGCCAGCCCCTCCAGCTCCACCCATGGCCCTGCTGTGCTTTCCCCAGGGTCATTGCATTTCACTTTCTGCACGCTGCCTGGGCTCAGCCAGCACCACACTTTGTGTCTCAGCCCCCCAGAAGAGGATGGGGGTGATCTGACTCTGAAACCTCCTCTGAGAGCCCCTGGTTTGCCCCACACACATGGGCAGGGCAGCAGGCTCCCCATGGCAAGCTCTGGCTGAGAGCACAGGCACCTCTGCTGCTCTACATCCACTGCTGCGGTAATAAAAACTAAACCCTGTGGGTTTTCTCCACACACATTACAGTTTCCAGGGGAGTGGGAGTCATTGAGGATCTCATAATCATTTCCAGGACTGTGATGGAGACACCCTCTGGGGATCAGCCTTGCTGGCAGCTGCAGTGGGGATGCCCCGAGGGGCAGGGCAGGGAAGGGAGCCTGCTCCACACATCGGGGAGTGTGGGGTGGCAAACCCACCAGCAACCAGGCCTGACAAAGGGAAAGAACTGAAATAAGAGACAGAGATTTGTGATGTGTGAAAAGCATGGCAGTTCTTTGCTCTTCACTAACCCAGATTTACAGAAGGAGCCAGCAGTGGTTTTTGAGAGCACCTCAGACACTGGAATGTGAACAGTGATTTAGGGCAGTAAAGGGAATTAATTGCAAGTGATCCAGGTTAATGGGTGTTTGGAAAGGCAAATGGAATGGATCACATCCTGTGGGGTGCCTCCCACTGTAAATCTGTAACTCCCATCACCTGCCCTGGGACACATAAACAGCCAGGGAAAGGGGAGGGGAGTCCTGGGCACAGAGCCTGGGGTCTGGGCTGGTGAGGGGCTCACACGGAGCCCTGCCCTCCCTGCTTTGTGAAAAAGGCACAAAAATTAATTACAATAAATCTCAGCCCAGCAGAGCAGCCCCTTGGCTTTGCTCTGGAGGCACTGCTGAGGTGTGGGCTCTGGCCTGTGTTCCACTGCCGTCCGAAAGCTGCTGTAGTATGTGCAGACCTAAATAAACACGTGTAAAGCAGGTAAGTGGATTTTAAACCCTGGAACGGGTGTTAGGGCTGATAAAAGCCTGGGGTGGGTGTTTTTGTACTTGAGCAGCTCGTTGCTATGTACACCTTCTCCTGCTGGCAGGTTCTACCCTCTGGCTAACCTGGGTGGGCTGGGTGCCAGCGCTTCTTGTGGAAGTTTCCCGGTGAAAAAGTGAGTGTTGGGAAGTGGCTCAGCTTTTTTCAGATGAGCACACCAGGGCCCAGGGCATTTCAGAGATCACAGAGATCATTCAAAATATTGCAATATATGTGGTAACAGGCAGCTCTCAATATGTTGAATAATGAGCAGCCATGCACAGAGTTTCTTTTGGGTGCTTTGTTACCTGTTGGAGACACTGTTGTGTTACACCAAAAATGAGATCTGGAGTATTTGCTGTCATATATACTGAAAAAACAAGGCTGAATTTATATTGATAATAACTCCCTAAGCTTCTTTTGACGGCCAGAAGGAAGCTTTGTAAGGAGGGAGAGGACAAAGGACTGGAAAATGAGAAACTATGAAAACTTTCTAGGTTAAAGGAGCCTTGTTGGAGACATTGTTGCTGGCAGAAGGAAGAAGGATATAATCAAATTTATCTACTAGATAGGTTAGTCCTGAGGCACCAGGAAATGTGCTGGAGTCTGAGTACATAAATTTGTCACGTCATGTACCAAATATACTTGTTGGGTTTCCCCTCCTCTGAAAAAGAAAGTCTTCTTTTTAAAAAGGGGAATTTTGTTAACTAAAATTAGTGTTCTCTTTCATAGATTGTCGCCCTGTAAGTTGCTGCATATTTGAACAGGCGATTTCACAATATAAGGACAAAGTGCCTCTTGAGAAAGCCTATCAGTGTATTAATTAGGGCTTCTGCTACAGGATATCTCTGGGTGTGGGATCAAGAGCCAATTTATTAGCCAAATCTTTTCATTTGAAAGTCAGCTGCAGCAATCAGGCCTTGTCTGTGAGAGATCTTTCACCTCCTTAAACTGCACCTTGATTTCAGCGCAGCTGAGTTTAGCGAGACTGTAGCCCAAATACCTGACCTGCATAAATCCCGCCTGGTGCCCAAGCTCTCATCTTAGAGAGAGCTCACCCTCCATGCACAGTGCAGCTCTAGGAGAGGCTTGGGGGGCACTTTGTGGGGTTTTTCTGTGTTTGTTTTTTGGGCTGTGATGAACCTGTGACTCACAACAGAGCCCTGTCTCTGGCCAGACAAACAATCCCAGTCCTGCTGTGCTGAGACTGAGCAGCCCTGGGCATGATCTCCCGTGCCCAGCTGGCATGGCCCTGCCCTGGCTGTCAGGGTCCCTCAGCAGTGGTATAACTGGGCAGCCCTGGGCATGATCTCCCGTGCCCAGCTGGCATGGCCCTGCCCTGGCTGTCAGGGTGCCTCAGCAGAGGTGGCACTGGGCAGCCCTGGGCATGATCTCCCGTGCCCAGCTGGCATGGCCCTGCCCTGGCTGTCAGGGTGCCTCAGCAGAGGTGGCACTGGGCAGCCCTGGGCATGATCTCCCGTGCCCAGCTGGCATGGCCCTGCCCTGGCTGTCAGGGTGCCTCAGCAATGGGTTTTTCCTGCTTTCTCCCGGGTGCTCCTGCCCGGTTGAGGAGCAGGCACTCACTGGGCAGCTGATGATGCCCTGGCAGTAAATGAGCTGCCAACCCACACGCTTGGTTAACGAGACCTACTTCAGGCTCAAGACAAACCTGTAGTACCCGTCCGGCTGTGGGAGGGACTAGGTGAGAATTAATGCATCTCCACTGACTTCACACGACATCGGATGTTATAAAATCCATACGGTATTTAAAGACGTGGAAAGCCGATCGCCTGTTTTATTGACAGTGCTTTATCCTCCGATGGCCACACGATGGCAGAAGACGCAAACCCTGCAATAATAAATGTTTAAAGAAAAAAAAACCAACAAAAACCCAAACCCACAACGGTGTTAGAGCTGTCCCGAGGCCGGAGGGATCCCGGCCCTGCCTGCTGTGGCTTCTGCCAGGGACTGAGCTCCGACACTCCCATGGCCGAGAACAGCCAAAACAAGGCCAGGAGGAGGATTTTGTGGGAGGATTTAATGGATTCACCCGCGCTGTGAGTAAAGGCTCTCCCTCGTTGCTCCGTCCGTGCCCAGGCTCGGCCGATGCACCGATTGCTTTGTGCTCGTTTTGGCGCTAATGGAAGTGGCGATGGACTCCAACCAGGCTGCATGTGCAGAATTGTCCCTGGCACAGGGCGCAGCCCCTCGCGGTGCCTGCCGTGGGCAGGGCACGGCTGGGCTGGCCGCTCCGGGCACAGCTCCGGGCACAGCTCCGGGCACAGCTCCGGGCACAGCTCCGGGCACGGCTGGCAAAGGCGCATTAACGCACATTTCCCCTCTACAGACCCCTGAACCCACAGAATCGCCACCGAATCAGCGGCGGAACCGTGCAGGCGGCTCCAGGCTGCGGAAAAGCCCCGTCAGGGCTGTTCGCTTCCTCTCTGCGGGGCCGTTCTGCTGAGATGGGGCCTTGCTGCCTCTGTGGCAGCAGCAGAGGGGCGGCAGCTGCCCGGAGCTCTCAGTGGAACCCGGCCCGAGGCTCTTCGGGTATGGACATGGATGGATCTAAGCAATCTGGGTCACGGCAGGACACTGCGCTCTGGCCGAGTTTGGGAGACCAGGCACCCACCTGTGGCTCCTCCCAGCTGTGATTGCACTTATTTCATCTGGGGGCTCCCTGGAAAATGGTCTCTGTCCCTGGCGGCAGTGCATTAAAGATAATTGATACAGAATTAAAGATTAGATGTAGTCCAAGTCTTGCATTTTGCTTCTAATCCTAGCAAATTTAACAAAAATTAAGAAATTATAATTTCAAATTAACTGTGTAGGGGCTGCAGTTGGTATGGCACAGGAGCTGTAAGGACAAGTGCAGCTGCATGGGTTCTTCTGCTGGTGACACCAACTCTCCTGATGAGTTAATTCAGGTGAAAGGTGAGGAGCAGCTGTACCTGTGGCAATACACTGAGGAGAGAACAGAGCTGCTTTCCTGTGGGCCAGGTGAGCAGATCGCCTTGGCCTTTGGGGACATGCAGGGGTCAAGCCCCAAAGGCTGGGCTCTTCTGGTCTGTTCAGCACCCACCACAGAGCTCTGCCACAGGAAAAGCGTCTGAGAACAGCTCCCTCTCCCAGCCAACACGAACAGGCCAGGAAAACACCAGGAAAGTACCCAGAAAGCAAGGCAAAAGCTGCAGGGCAGCTTGGTGTGACTTCAGCGCTCTGCTGCTTTGTGGGGGAGGGAGCTCCACAGCCAAACTGGTTAGGCATTATACGGAGATGTTTAACAATTGCCATTCATTATTTGAAGGCGGCTGGCATTGTTCTCTGGTTTCCTCTGTTGTGGTGAGGCCTTTGTGTGGAAAGGTGAGTGAGAGCCCAGCTGCAGCGGGAGGGCCGCCCCGGGATGCAGATCGGTGCTGGCTGTGCCTGGGAACGCTGCCCTGGGATGCGGGGATGTGGAGCCCTCCCCGATCCCTCTGCCTGCTGCCCTGGGAGAACTGGGCTTAAAACCCCCAAAGCTCCCACACCTGACTGCTATTTTGGTGCTGGGGCAGGCTGGGATGTGTCACGCTGTGTGAAACTGCCAGACAGTGGGTGCCACTGCAGAGCAAATGGGACCGGTTTAGCCTCGGTAAATCGATATGATGCTATTCTCACTCTAGAAATGCAAAGTGGAAAATCTGTGTTTTCCGGGCCTCTGGAAGCTGCCAGCTGCTCTCTAGGCCCCGGAGCGGTGCCTCAAGGTGAGTTTTGCTCAGTTTGCAGGAGGAAGCTGGCTTTAAAATGGGGCAATGCAATCTGCTGGGATGGCAGTGGCACCTGGGCACGGGGCTGGAGGAACCTGCCCACTCCTGGAGGTGCCTGGAGCTGTCAGCAAGGACAGCCCAGGGGAACTCCCTGCCCTGGTGCCGAGGATATTGCTTCAGAAAAGGCTGTTCTATTGCTGGGCAATAATGATGTTCAAAACAATAATAAAAACATGTAGGTTTTGTTAGGTTACATCTCGTCCTTTTCAACTTGATGTTGAAAACATAAAAACATGTAGATTTTGTTAGGTTACGTCTGGTCTTTTTCAATTTGGTGCTGAAAACAACAAAAACATGCAGATTTTTTTAGGTCACATCTGGTCCTTTTCAGTTTTGGTGGTTTACATTAATATTCTCATGCTCTGTGCCTGCTCGAGTAGGGAGAAGGTTCCTGGAGGAAGCATTTCAGGTGAGTTTTACTCCCCCCTTGCGCTGTCCCAGCCTGGGGAAGGGGGTTTGTGTTCAGCCTGAGTGCTGCAGGGAGGTTGGAGGCACCAGGGACTGCTGGGCAGCTCTGGGCCAGGAGGCTGCAAAGTGCCCTCGTGTCCCCTGTCCCCGTGTGCCCCTTGTCCCCCCTGCCCTGTCCCCGTGTGTCCCCTGTCCCCGTGTGTCCCCCTGTCCCCGGCTCTCTCCTGTCCCCGTGTGTCCCCTGTCCCCCCCTGCCCTGTCCCCGGCTCTCCCCTGTCCCCCTCCCGTGTCCCGCGTGTCCCCTGTCCCCGGCTCTCCCCTGTCCCCGGCTCTCTCCTGTCCCCGTGTGTCCCCGGCTCTCCCCTGTCCCCGTGTGTCCCCTGTCCCCCCCTGCCCTGTCCCCGGCTCTCCCCTGTCCCCCTCCCGTGTCCCGCGTGTCCCCGCCCGGGCTCGGTGGCTCCCTCTGGCGGCACCGCGGGGCTCGCGCTGCTCCCAGGCTGCTCCGGGCGCGGCGGCGCCGCCTCCAGCGGCGGGACAAAGCGGGGCCGAGCGGGGCCGGGCCGGGCCGGCGGCATGGAGCGCGGAGCGGAGCGGGGCCGGCGGCGCGGCCCGCAGCCCCTCTAGGAGCGGAGCGGAGCCGGGCCGGGCGATGCGGCGGTGAGCGCGGCGGGGCCGGGCGCCACCGCGATGCTCCGCCGCAGCCTCAGCCGCCTGGTGAGTGCGGGGCCGGGGCGCGGGCGGGCAAAGTTCGCTGTTTTTCTCTCCCTGCCGTGTGCCGGGGCCGTTCTCCCGCGGGCTCCCGCATCCCCCTCCCCGCGGGGTCCGCCCGCGGCCCCGGCCCCGCCGCGGCGGCTCCGTCCCACCCTGCGAGCCCTCCAGAAGTTCGCTTTGCTGCCCGAGCCCAGACCTTGTTTTTTCCTCCCGGACCTGCCGGAGGGCGCTTCCCCGGCCGGCAGCGCTCCCCGGACCGCGTGGCCCTTCCTGCCCGGGGCGGGATGCGGCTCTGCCCCCGCCGGCTCCATCCCGATCCCTGCCCGCTGCCACATAGGCTGCTCGGAGATTTCACCGTGACCTCACTGCTTGGCCTGGGCTCTGTAATTACTCATGTTTTCCTTTTCCGCAGCAAATGTGCGAAAAGCGGTGTTTTACCGTCGTTCCGGGCGCTGCTGTTTGTTCAGCAGTGTCATTGATTGCGCAGTGCGTAGTTAGCGAAGTTCCTGGAGTTGGGGCGGTGTGTGTGCTGTGACACAACCGGAGCACCGTGCCGTGGAGCTGGGGCTGTGTGTGTATGCTGTCACACTGCCCGGGCACACTGCGATGGAGCTGGGTGTGCTGTGACACAGCCCGAGCACCGTGCCATGGAGCTGGGGTGCTGTGACACAGCCCGAGCACCCTGCCATGGAGCTGGGTGTGCTGTGACACGGCCCGAGCACCGTGCCATGGAGCTGGGTGTGCTGTGACACGGCCCGAGCACCGTGCCATGGAGCTGGGTGTGCTGTGACACAGCCCGAGCACCGTGCCATGGAGCTGGGGTGCTGTGACACAGCCCGAGCACCGTGCCATGGAGCTGGGCAGCTCTGGGCCAAGGGGCTGGAAAGCTGCCCTGGGAATAGGCTGGCCTGGCTGAGCCACGGCCCGAGCTCCGGGGCCGCTCCCGGGGCGCTCCCGGTCACGGGCTCTGCCCCCAGGCCGGAGCCGCGCTCTCCTCTTCTCTTTTGCTTTGGAGCGAGATATTTTTCCCAGGCTTGGAGCACAAGGGACTCTAAGTCGCCTTGTTAAGTCTGGAGGTAGCTCTGCGGAGCTGGGCAGGGAAGGGTTTGATTTTTGGGTCGGTTTTCTGTTTGTAGGCGCTGTTTCTGTGGCAGGCTCTGCGTTAGCCCTGTGCAGAACGCACCTACCTCAGCCATTGTTTTGCAGCCTCGGGGACAGATAGATGAGATGGAAACTCAGTGCCCTGACTGGCTTCGATGCCTTTCGGGTTCAGCTCTGCCCTGAGTGCTTCCTTCCCCACCCAGCCCAGCGGCAGTTTTTGTGCCACTCCTGTCAGAGGCGTTTGTGGTTTGAGGCATCTCCGCCGGGTTCAGTGCAGAGCTTTTTCGGGTGGCTGCTTGCTGTGAGCGGGTGCTGGAGGTGCCTGCCTGGCTGCTGGACCCAGCACCCTCCTGACGGGTGAGGAGCAGCCCCTGCCATGCCCGGGGTCCCACACAGTCCCTGTGTCACCTCTGGGTCCCTGGGCATGGAGAGGAGATGCTCAGTGCTGCTGGGGTGCGATGTCCTCTGGCATGCAGAGAAACCATCCCTGCACAGCCCAGGTATTTCCAAAGGCTCTGTGCAGGGCTGGCTGTGGCAGCAGCCCTTGGGAAGGGTAGAGAGGTGTTGTGTCTGTGGCAGCAGCCCTTGGGAAGGGCACAGTGGTGTTCTGGCTGGAGGAGCAGCCCTTGGGAAGGGTAGAGAGGTGTGGCTGGAAGGGCAGCTCTGTTCAGGGCCCAGGACCGAGTGCCAGGCCAGCTGCAGTGTTGGTGTCGTGTTAGGCACTGTTTGCACCTCCTGGCTTTGTGAGCAGCACTTCAGCAGCAAGGAGCAGTTTATCAGGCTGGTGCAAGTGGCGTGGGTCCCCCATATCAGCCCTGGCTGATAGAGCAGCTCGTGCCCTGTCCCCAGCCCTGCAGGCAGCCAGGGCAGCCCTGGGCCAGCCCTGTCCCTCCTGCTCCATGGGAGAGCAGGGCAGCCTGTGCCAGGCTCTGTGAGCCATCCTGAGGTGCTGCTGCCTGGCCCTCGCTCCTGGATGGGCAGTGCTGTTCAAGGGATGCTCATCCTGTGGCATTGCAGAATTCACTGCAGTTACTAAAGGCTGCAGATTTGCTGGCACTTGGGATCCCATAGGGCTGCTCAGACAAGCACTGTAACCTCTCCACTGTGTGGTCTCTGCCTGAGGCTCGTAAATACCAACAGATAGTCAAAATCCTGTTTTCAGTTGTAACTCACAGCTTAGGCACAGCGGAGGTGACTTGCCCTGTCAGCATGGCTGTTTGTGGCTCTGGTTTTCCCTCCTATAAACTCTGATCCTGGATAGGGTGTGAAATGGGATGGTAAGGAGAGCAGGAAGGGTCGAGTGGTGCATGTGGGTCTGCACAGCTACCTGGGGGTGCAGACTGATGCTCTCAGAAACAAATTGGATTCTGAACTTTGATTTGCACACCGAAATAATCCCTGTCACAGGAAGAGTGGGGCTGGGATCGCTGCGGGGAGGTGGGATGGAATTGCCATGGTTAATCCACTTTTAGGAGATACTGTCAACTTGAAATATAACTTTAATTCGTTTTTGGAAACAGATTCTAGCACTGGAGTCTTATTTTTAGTCTCCTGCTGCTCGTAAGGCTGTTGTGGGAGGGTGCAGGAGCGGGGTGGGGAAGTGTGGGGGTGTCCAGGGGGGGTTTGGGGTCACTCTGCTGGGCTGGGCCCCTCACAGCACTGTCCACTGCAGCTGGCTGGGCAGGGCTGCTCCCTGTGTCTGCATCACAGACAATGGGCTTTTCTCACCTATTGCTCTCCTGTTCTTGCTGTACCCCGGGGCCACAGCTCTGCCAGGGCTGGGGGCAGTGCCCACCCGGGCTGGGGAGAGATAAGGGAGGGAGGCAGAAAGAGAACTCACTGATGCCCTCATTATTTGTGCTTTTCCTCCCAGTTTGCCTTTATTTAAGGCCAGTCTGGAAGCGAGCCCTGGGAGCTGAGACCCTGCTCATGGGGCAGGAGGGCCGGGGTGGCGGGTGAAGCACCCCGGGGCGGCGGGTGAAGCACCCCAGGGTGCTCTCCCTGCTCTTGGGGTGCGTGCTGCTGGCTGAGCCCCTGGGCTGCTGCTCTGTGCAGTCAGTGCAGCTCCTTGCCCTGGCACTCTCCTGTTTGTGTTCAAACCCAGGATAAGTGAGAAAACAACGAGCATTCTGTAATTGGGAGCAAAACTCTTCTGCTGGAGTGTTTGTGCAGAGCGTAACAATAGGGCCTTAGTTGTGTTATTCCAGTTAATTAAATGCCTTGGGGCCTGATCCTCTTTGCAGCCCGAGTGCTGGTAAATCCCTGGTGTCTGGCAGGTGCTGGGCTCCTTGTGAGCTGCTGGTTCTCGGCACCGTGTGCCTGGTGTTGGGAACGAGGTGTCCCTTGGGTGGGTGTGCAGGGCTGGCCCTGGGCTGGGCCTGTGGCTCTGTGCCCTGTCACAGGCTGCGGTGATGTTCCCTTGCTGCTCCTCCTGGGCTCTGCATCCCTGTGTGCTGTGCCAGCCGTGGGTACCTCAGCTTGGGCATGGGGCTCCTTCATCCCTGTGTGCTGTGCCAGCAGTGGGTACCCCAGCTTGGGCATGGGGCTCCTTCATCCCTCTGTGCTGTGCCAGCAGTGGGTACCCCAGCTTGGGCATGGGGCTCCTTCATCCCTGTGTCCTGTGCCAGCAGTGGGTACCCCAGCTTGGGCATGGAGCTCCTTCATCCCTGTGTGCTGTGCCAGCAGTGGGTACCCCAGCTTGGGCATGGGGCCCTGTCGGGCAGGTCCTACCTGAAGATACCCACCCCACTGAGACCTGTTCAGAAAAAGACTGAAAAAGGGACATGGCCCAAAGTCACTCTTTAGATGGGAAGTAAATTTGGCACTGGGAAAAGGGGAAAAGGAGCAGGGCTGGATGGAGAGAGCCCCTGGTGGGGCTGTCCCTGCCCAGCTCAGGGGGTGTGGGAGCTGTCCCAGGCTGTGGTGGAGGATGTTGATTTACACTCCCATCTTTAGGATGTGCAGCAAGTGTGCTCTGTGTGCAAAATTAGATTTTATTACACATCTGTGATTTTCTTTCACACTTGGTTTTTTTTTTCCCATAGAGTGTGAACCAAACATTAGTGTGTGATTGCAGTTCCCGTTCTAATAATAAAGATGATTACAGTTCGGAGTTGGAAGCTGCAGGAGTTGTCTCTTCCTCCCAGTCCAGCCCTGCTAGCACCTGGAGAGTGAGGCTGCATGTCAGATGCCAGCTTCTGCAGGAAGCGTTTGCTTTCATTGGTGTGACAGAAACCTGTGAGCAGCAAAGGCTGGGGCCGGGGTGTCTCTGGGACACCAGGCGGCACAGAGGAATCTGCTGGGGAAAATCCCGCGTTTGAAAAGAGCACGGATTTCAATGAAACCGCTTGAAATTGTCACGAAAGCTGCCGGGATTTTGTTCTGTGAGATGTGTTTGGCGTGACAGCAGCGTCCCTTGTGCGCGGGCAGTTCCCCTGCTTGGCCACAGAGAAGTCAAGGGAGGCTCAAATGGGGAAGCTGGGGCTGCAGAAAGCCTGGGGCTGCAATCCCCCACTGCTGCTCCTTCCCTGGAAAATGGGGACGCGGGAGTTTCTCAGGTTCTGGGGGACACGGGGCTTTGTGAAATTCCTGTAACCGTTTCCTCTTTAACTGTCTGCTAACTGTAGCCTTATTCCCAGAAATAGCTCAGCCATTTGGCTAAAAATAAATAAAAATCAAACAAAAAGCCAAAGCTGGGCCTGGGATACACAGCTGCATGTGTTCATGTGTTCAGTTAAAGTTTGGGAAGTTGGGAATGGCTCCAGGGAGGGCTGGAAAGCACCGGTCAAACATTAATGATAAGTGATGCTTCTAATTAAACCTGGGCCATGCTGGAACTTTTCTGTGCAGAATAACGAGTCCTGGCTGTGTTTTCTTCTTCCCTCCGTGCCACTTTTGTCCCC